CCTCAGTCGTTAAACCTACCGACAGCACACTACTCGGAGCACCTCTGGGCCACAATGCCATTGCTGCAGTCCTTGACGAAAAGTTTAGAAACCTAAAGAGGATGGAAGAGAGAATTGGGGACTTGGACTCCCACGATGCCCTCTACCTTCTCACAAAGTGCCTTACCTTGCCCAGGCTAACATACTTCATAAGGTGTGCACCAACTTTTGGCAACCCATTTCTAAATCAATATGATGAGCTCCTCAGGTCAATATTCAGGAAGGCGCTCACCCTAGATTTAGATGACAGTCAGTGGGACCAAGCAACACTACCAGTGAGATTTGGAGGGATAGGCATACGAAAGGCAACTGAGGTAGCACTTCCAGCATTCTTATCCTCATGTACAGCAGCCAACGAATTGGTAGGGCAGATCCTACCAGAGCGTATGAGAGAGACAGCAGGAACTCATGATCAAACGTTCATCGAAGCAGCCAGACAATGGGACACCATTGCACACCCTCAACCCCTACCACAAGTCCCAAAAGACCACAAGCAGGCCCACTGGGATAGCCCCATAATGGAAAAGACTGTCACAGCAATGATTGACAACGCTGATGCTGAAAACAAAGCCCGCCTCCTAGCGGTAACAGCACCCCACGCCGGGGATTTTTTATTTGCTGTGCCCAATGCAGCCCTGGGAACTCGCCTCAGTCATGACGCTCTCCGCATTGGAGTTGCCCTTCGCCTTGCCGCCCCCATCCTCACCGAACATAGGTGCATCTGCGGAACTGCGATGGCAGACCAATATGGTCGTCATGGTCTGGTATGTCGTAAATCACAGGGTAAAATTGCAAGACATGAAGAAGTCAACGACATCATCAAGAGGAGCCTCGCCACAGCCCGCTGCCCGGCACAAAGAGAACCACACTTATCCAGACCTAACGACCCTCAGAAGCGCCCTGATGGGGTCACCTTGCTACCTTGGAAGGATGGTAAGCAAGTGGTATGGGACTACACGTGCGCTGCCACACTGGCCAGTACCTACCTCCACTACAGCACACGTGAAAGCGGTGGTGCTGCTTCTTTCAGGGAATCGCAGAAAATTATTAAATACAGAGGTCTAGCACACTGCTACAGCTTTGTTCCGATCGGCTCGGAGACCCTCGGTTCGTGGGGAAAATGTGCATTGAAGTTCCTGAAGGAATTGGGGGACAAATTGATCAGCGCTACAAAAGACCAGAGAGCAAAAAGTTTCTTGTTCCAGCGCCTCAGTGTTGCGATTCAGAGGGGAAATGCCTGTTGCGTCTTGGGCACTAGTCCAACTTCAGAGGAATTCGAAGAAGTGTTTGACTTGCAACAATGATCGAACCTGTCTGTGACATTCATCAATGTTTCCCATTGTTGTGTTTTTCAAGAGATCCATAACCTTTAAGTACCTTTTTGCATTATTATTTTTGTATCAACCCATGTATATCTTGTAACCATCAAATGCATAAAAGGCACAAAAAATAAAAAAGGAAGGGGGTAGTAGGAGAAAAGCACACAGAAACTGTATTGGAGGGGATCTAAACATTCCCTCTAATGCGTTATGCGTGGTTTCCTCCGAGGCTATGGGTCCCCCTTCTTCCAGCTAGAGGTGGTACTCCCTTCTATATATAAAAATATATATATATATATATATATATATATATATATATATATATATATATATATATATATATATATATATATATATATATATATATATATATATATATATATATATATATATATATATATATATATATATATATATATATATATATATATATATATATAACCTAAAAGGGGTACCACCTCTGGTGCAAGTGTAGGGACACATAGCCTCAGAGAAGAAAATAAAAAGTACTCAGAGATGACCTTGTAGATCCACATTGAACACTTTGATATTTTCTTCTCCTATCGCCCCTATTCTTTTAGTCTGTGTGTATATATATCTAACTTAATTTTAGTATAGATTATATATCTAACTTAATCTTAATATATCTAACTTTATGCATACACTTGCCTAAACGCGCAAGGTAGAAGTATAGAAACTTTTAGACACACAACACCCACCAGGGGACTTGAACCCTGGCCACCAGGATGGCAGGTACGCACTTATACCCACTGCACCATACTCAGAGCCCCAAAAGAGGTGGGAATTCTGGGGTATTTAACTCCCAGACAACCCATCCTCTCCAGGCAATGGTATAGTGAGAGGCAATTGTATGCATTAAGCATGGGCCACGTGTTCTCCCATATAACAGGGCTTGATGGAAAATGTCAATTGCCTCTCACTATACCATTGCCTGTAGAGGATGTGTTGATTTACCACTGAAATTAATGGTAAAACTGAACCATAGATAGAAAATATAAATATAAATAATGACAACACTAATTTTCCAGACCAGCTCTGTAGGAATAATGCTGTCAATGAGATAGCTGTCATACAGCTAGTACTTCAATTGCTGGACTTATATCAACCTAATCAAACTCCTTACTCATTACAATCCTTCTGCATGGAGTTGGAGTCACTACTAAGAACATTTAGTCTTTAGGTTGATATAATCACTACTGAGTGGATGACCAAAGTAGTCACTCAACGAAAACTGTCCAGTGATATACTAGGTAGATTACAATAAACCCATCCTGACAGTACAAGACATCACTGAAGGTTTGCGTTCTGTCATAGACAAATGACGTGCAAATGAGGAAGTTAAAGCCTCTTGCGAGCCTTCAGAAATAGTAAAAAATAGTAAGTTAAAGGGTGAACCAAATACCCCAAATAAACAACAATCAATTACTTCCACATGATTCTGCCGTTGCTGACTGCAGTTGTTGTCAATCCGGCAAGGAGTGAGGACCAGGATGTCGCTGCTGACGTGGCTTGTGTCCCGTGTTTCTGCTGAAGGTCCCCTGGGGCCCTGACTGTCTGCAATCATGGGGAGGCCTGTGCCTCCTGTCACCAGGCAGGCCTCCATTGGCCTGGAGTTCTCTGGAATTCCTTCCTACCACGCGGTGGTGGTGGTGATAATTAATATGCTTCGTGTACCAGTGGAGTCTGTGTGCTGGGTGCAGCTGCTTGCCAGACGGCGGGCGATTGTCAAGTTCGGCTCCCCGGCGTTTTATCAAGATCTCGTCACGCGCTATGATGGGCGCTCATTCATTCTTCCTGGAGATGGTGGGTCAGTGACCCTCTCTGACCGTTGTGGAGCCACGACGTATGTAGCAGTGCATGGGATGCCTTTTAAGTTCCTGAAGATCTTCTACGTCGATACTTTGCCCGGTTTGGGCGGGTCCAACATGTAAGAATGAATTCCGTCCCTACCGGGAGATGGAAGGGGGTCCCTTGTGGGTCCCGCACTCTCGCCATGTGCCTCAGGGATTCTTTACCGTTCTCCATCATGCTGTTGGGGTTCTCAATTCGTGTTTTTCACAGTGGACAACCTCGGGCATGTTTCAGGTGCGGTTTACCGGGTCACCTGGCTGTGGGGTGTGAGGAGCGCCGAGTCACACCTGTTAACCATTTCCGGGAGAAGGATTTTCCCCCAGCTGTTTCCAAGTGTTGGACCGTGTGATGATTCACTGCCGGCTTACCGGCTTCTGCCTTGGTGTTGGGTGGGGGTGACGATGTTGACGTGTGGTTTGGGGGCAGCCCCGCCCCCGCCACCGGCTTTCCCACCTCCGAGTCCCTGCTGCCCCAGCCCACCCCGTTGTGGCCACCCCTGCCTGCTTCGTCCCTGCATGCGTCGTCTCCTGTCTCTTTGGATGTCCGCGGTAAGATGTCTTCTGTAGTGTGTGTAGTCTGGTGCCCCCTGGCCGTGGAGGCTGCTGTTTTCAGGGGCCGGATTTCGAAGGTGCGTCCGTTGGAGAATTATGATGTGTTACGGGATGATGAGGGTGACAGCTCGGACGACCGGCAGCTTATCCACAAGCACTCGAGGCGAGTCCCGAGTACATCTCCCTTTCTTGGTGTGCCTTGGGTGGAGGTAGGAGAGTATGTTGATCCAGCGTCTCCCTCCGAGGTTGGCGGTGCTGTGGGGGGCTCTGTGCTACCTCCTGAGTCGCCCCCTACGCCTCCTGCTGTTGGCTCCCCACGGTTTGAGGTTTCTCCTCCCGAGCGTGATCTCGTTGTGGACTTAAGGAAGGATATGTGCCAGGGTGCCTTTGTTCATGTGCCCACTGGCAGGGGCTCTGACGCATCTGTGTCCTTTGTGGGTCCCCCCCCCCAGTGTGCAGCCCCGTGAGAAGCCTCGTGAGAAGCCTCGTGCGCAGGCCAGTTCGAAGCCCTGTGCGGTGCCCTGTGCCGCCCCCGGAGCGCCTCCCTGTGCGGATTCCAGTGCAAAATCCCCTAGTGTGGACCTCTTTCCTGTGATCGCGGCTGATGGGGGCATAGTCCCTCAGTCGTGGTGTTTGGACCTCACTTTGGACGAACAGGGTGCGTCCGGTCCCGTGGTGCTCATCAACTATTTAGGTACCGAGGTTAAAGGGGTTTATATATGGGGTACCTGATTGGATTCTAAGGGGTTGTCATAGCCAGGGGGTGGTAATGGGGGACGAGCTCCCATGACCTATAAAAGGCTCCTATACGGCATGCGTCTCAAATAGCCTCTGACAACCAAGTCCAACTCCTGGCCTGCACGGGTGGCTTAGTCTTTAAGTCCGGCGGAACTGCTTTTACTGACAGGAGAAGGGGTGAGGGCGTGCTCTGGCGCCTTAAAACCAGCTGCTCCGGGTAGATGGGACTCGATAGCCTGGGAAGGCAGCCCATCTAGGGGAGAGAAACCCTGATTTTAAACCTCCGCTGCCTTGTGGCCATACCCCTTTTTTTGGGAGAGGCTTCAGGAGTCAACCTCGAGGAAAAATCCGGAGTTGGAGCCCCTAAGGCAGTTCGTTGTTGACGTCGACCTCGTTCTGGCAGCTCCTGCGACGTTGCTGGAACCATGTGTATTGGCATTTGCCTTTCTATTGGATAATTTCAGCAACGTGGAGAGGGGGGACCTGCTGCATGGGTAACAGCTTCTCCTCCATATCTACCTACCCAGGCTTTGCGCCCTGTTAGGGCGCAACTCCATAGTCTTCCGAGAATGAAGGAGGCCTACTACTACTACCTGATTGGATGCCTCGGCTTTGTGCGTCTCCTGGTAGACCGGTGTCCGAAGACGTCCAGCTGGTTTGGGAAGAGTACTGCTTGTGCTTCCCGACACAGGAGTTTCCGGACAAGTATCGATTGTGCCGGTGTTTGAGTGTAAACTCCCTGTCTGTGATTTTGTTACCGTTTCTGCGGTTCTATGTATGTTTTGTCTACGTGTTAGGTTTCGCCCTGTTGGGTGATGTGCTTGTTTGTGTGTTCCGTATGCATTTTTTTGGTTGTACTGTGCTGTTTGTGTCCTGTGTGTGCTTTGTGTTCTTTTGTTTGTGTAGTTTCTAGGGCTGTTGGGTATGTGTTTGTATTTGCATGTGTGTTGGCCGGTTCCTGCATGTTCCGGTGCTTGTTTTGTTTTGTTTATGTTTTGCATGTGTGGTTGTCATTTCTTTATGTTCTTTCCCGGTCCCTGCGTGTTCTGGTTATGAATTCCTGTCTGTCTTGGTTTTTTGTCCTGCTTATGTGGCCCTTCAGGCTGGCTTGTGTATCTAGTTTTGTAATTGTTATTTTGTACCATATCATTTCTGTTTTTTTCATGTTTCCTGTTATATGCTTGTTTTGTTTTCAGTTTTGTGTTTCCTTTCTCTGTTGTTCTCATGTGTTGTTATGTACTTTATGGATCACTGCTTGTTCAAATTTTCCAGGGTGTTTTTATGTGTATTTAATGTACTTTATCAATAAAAAGAAGAAAAAAGAACTTCCACACCAAGGTAGAGAAAATCTGGCAGTGAGAGCACTTATGCAGCAGAATCCTCCAAGCCTACTGTTACTAGTTAACCCAAACCGGTAACATTCAAGCTTGCAGTAGGCTGGGGAAAATGTTTGCTCTGCAAAGAGAAACATTCAACACACTGTTGCACCAATTATCCTGACAGACACTCGTATTGAGCGACACCTGATATTAAGGAAATGCCCAAGGTGTCTCAAATCACACAACTTCGAGCGTTGTGAGATCTAACTTTACACCTGCAATAGGTGTAGAAAAGTTAAGCACCATGCAGCACTGTGCAAACTTAATAAATTAACGTGTTCCAAACCCAAGGTGGAAGATAACATTCCCACCACAGAACAACACTGAAAGGTGCGACATAAAGTCAGTGTCCAATCGGCAGAGTCCAAACGTAATGTGATTTTGCCTACTGCCTAAATTACCATCCAGAATAAGAGGGCCAGGGTCCATACTCGTGGGTTGTTTAACCAAGCGTCCCAAAGAACATTTCTCACTAAAAAGTGGCAGATGATCTACAATTAAAGACTGTAATCAAGGGACATTGAATATTTCAGGGTTCTTAGTTGAGACAGGACCTCAGGTCTACCCGGTGGTTCAAACATCAGTAAGATTAGGCAGCTACGTCTGTCAAGTACAAGCCATTGTAGTGGACACAATTCCAACCGACCTAAATGTACAAGGTCTAGGCGCTACTGCCAATTTCCTGAGAAATATGGGAAATAAAATTGGCAGCTAAAATTAAGTCTGATCACCTCACCGACATCAGAATCCTTGTAGGTGCAGACTTCTACTACCACCAATTCATCGGTAGCCTAACTAAATATCAGGGTATAACCATGCTAAATTCTGCAGGAGGCAAATTACTCACAGCTCCAGTATTTACCCTTAGGAGACCTATTCCTGCAATCAAACAATACCAGTAGAAATCTAAGCTTGTCAGCTGATTATACAACTCCAGTAGCATTATACTAAGGATAATACAGTTGACAATAACAACAGAGGTTGATCTTGATCAATCTCTGTTGGTCATGATTTAAATGATGATCTGTTGATCATCATTTAAAGCTGATGATGTGTTCATGAGGCCTCATTGGCAAATCAGTGAACAGTAGCCTAAACAACCTATAAGTCACTGTGACCAAAGTCATTGAACTCCATGCAGTCTCAGAACCATACTTGACTTTAATGATTGACTATTCAATCCTCTGAATCAAATAACAAAATTAAATTCAATTTGTCAGCCAAATAAACTCCAGCAAATAAGCACAGGGGAGCATGACTGACTATATAAATCCGATGACTGATTTTGATACATTTATTATTTAATCCAGGGCCTAATCATGGGCCTCAGTGTATAAATATCAGTGACCAGTAACCTGAACAACCTTTAAGTTAATATAACTAATGTCACTGTTCTCACTCCAGTCCCAGAATTATACTTGACTGTAGTAATTGTTCATATTCAGTTCTCAGGGTTAAATATATTGTACTTAGGTTAGAATTTTAGCCTCACAAGAGTTAGCCGGGAATGAAATCGTCACAAGACTACCAACCCCTACAGTTCTTGTACGGGACATCTGTCCTTTACAAACTGCCACACAAAATGTGTGATTACTAACTACTAACATCAAAATTAATCTAATAATTAGAAGGAGGAGTATCGGTGCTCGTCAGTCCTAAGTAATGGACTTCAGCCTGTGTTCGGTCCTCGGGGAATTATGTCGTAAAACCCAACACCATTTACTTATATTTAATACAAAAGGCAGATAATAGCTGCTGGATTGTATAAATAAATTAACTCATATCAAATGAAGCACAGTGGAATTTTCCTCAATAGAAAACGGGGGATATCATTGCCATGTTGCTATGAAATTCACCAGCTAATTCTGTTGGGAATTATTCTTAATACAGCAGTCTCTGGACTGTAAACATCATAACAACATTTCCCATGAATCAAATAAATTATCAGAACCAAACTGTAGTACCAAAAATACCTACAGTAAATGTAGGCCATTTAACCACTTTTGACATCGGGATAAGAGAACCAGGATGCGTCAATGGGAGGCTGGCCTTAGGCAGGCAGTAAATTTATCAACAAAGTCTCGAGTGGAGCTCACTTCAAGTTCCACAGAAATTTTCCTTGGACACCAGTGTTACAAGACTAAACCATCCCGTTATGAACATGCATCGTCTACAGTAAGGGAGGTGTTCTTTCCGAAACTTGTTTATTAGCTGTTTCATTCCTAATCTGAAATATTATAGGTACTTATACGGTGAGCCGGTTAGAATGCAAATGAGACACAAAAACAAGGTAAATATTCCTTGGTCCTTATCTCATAATCAATATACCAATGTTTCCCCCTGATATAGCTGTCATATTAGGCTTAATGCTTTTATTTGTGAGTGCCCTTTGACTCGTGGAACAGAAGAGGAACAAGAATTAACACTAGTTACCTAGTTCACCAGTACATAAGTTGGGAGCCAGCCACACCCACAGTGTATCGACAGGTTTAATCATTCGTGTTCATACTGGTTGTGTAGGAAATAACAACAATAAGATAATTTTAGTTAAGATAATCCCATTTTAGTTAATAATATGTAGTCTAATACTGTAGTGAATGTCTACTAATCAATAATTTTGATTAACTACATATAAACTAAGAACCCCCCAGAATGAGTGAGGAAAGTGATTTGTGAGACATTTTAAAAAATACAGTCCACTTCAAGCAACAAACAGTTTGCTACCGAAAATATAAATTAATGTAAATAAAAATTACTATATAAATTAATGTAAAATATAAATTACTGTACACAGTAAATTGAAATAAATTAAATAAATATGAATCTCACAAGTGAATTCACCACACCCCCGGTGAGCGGGTCGAGTACACCCCCCCCCCCCCTGGTGAATGGGTCGAGTAGATCCCCCTGGTGAGTGGGTCGAGTAGACCCCCTGGTGAGTGGGTCGAGTATACCCCTAGGGTAAGTGGGTCTAGTACAGGCAGACAGACAGACATATAGACAGACAGATAGACAAACAGACAGACTGAGAGCTAATTAATTAGTTTGAAGGCAAATTTTCGTGATGATCAAGAAGACTAACAACACACCAACTCTTAATTTCACAGCGAAGCAAATGATGGAACAAATTTTCCAGCATTTTCATTGCACTGTAAGCATCATCCTAGTACGCTCTCTATTCATTTTGTTGAGTGGTTCTCAGTTTATCAGCTTCACATGAATGAGCTAGTTGTGGAATATGCAAAAATGTTCTCTGCATGGATTCATAGTTCCCAGACGTCTTCCTCCGCAGTAATTTTTGCAATTGGACGTCAGTCAATCATTTCATATGTGTCTCTTAAGGATATAAACTTTTGGCAATCAACGTATGCTTTAGTTTAGACTTATGTGTCTCTCGGCTGACGTAAACATCACTGTATGAGTGTGTGAAGGGTGGGTGGCAAGGTTGATACATTAGCGGTGATGACATGCGTCCTGGCCCATTGTGAGGAGTAGGCTGACCTCTGCATCAGTTACATTGTGTGAACCAGTAGAAGGTGTTGACTTCTACATATGGTGTGTAACTTACGGTGAGGTGAGTATCATACTTCAACCAGCAATAATCTGAAAGACAAATGGCAGTCAACAGTCTTAAGCAAAGCTTCTACAAATATGCAAAGAATAAATCCAATTATTGCAGACTGATAAATACATTTTCGTGAATTTTACCTGCAATTTTTGCAAAAATAATTTAAAAAATCAAGTATTGCTGACAACAATGACGACTCAGTGACTCAGACTGACAGTTCACAATCATTGACTAACTTAAATAAAATAACTGTGAAAACAAGCAAAGGTGAGCATAAACTAATCATCAGAACACACTGCTATGTCAGGAAGATTAAGTAGAACTTGGAATAGTATAAAGTCACAAAGTCTAAGTGAAAGGAAATATCAGCCTAATGTCCCTCTCCATAATGATAAACTTGAAATCATCCTTTATATATATATATATATATATATATATATATATATATATATATATATATATATATATATATATATATATATATATATATATATGTGTGTGTGTGTCTGTGCGAACAAGCCTGACTGGTCCCCAGGACTATATGCAACTGAAAACTCACACCCCAGAAGTGACTCAAACATATACTGCCAGGAGCAACGCAACTGGTATGTACAGGACGCCTTAATCCGCTTGACCATCACGACCGGACATAAGGACGTGACAGACGAAGCTATTTGAACCACTTCCCCGCCGTCACTCGGATGGTAATCTTGGGCATAGCATTTTATCAAATCACCTCATTCTTTGGGGCACACGTGAGGAACACAAATGCAAACAAGCCTGAATGGTCCCCAGGACTATATGCAACTGAAAACTCACACCTCAGAAGTGACTCGAACCCATATTGCCAGGAGCAACGCAACTGGTATGTACAGGACGCCTTAATCCGCTTGACTATCATGACCTACCATAAGGAAAAGATAGCCGAAGCTATTTGAACCACTTCCCCGCCGGCACTCGAATGGTAATCTTGGGCATAGCATTTCATCAAATCACCTCATTCTTTGGGGCACACGTGAGGAACACAAATGCGAACAAGCCTGAATGGTTTCCAGAACTATGTGCAACTGAAAACTCACACCCCAGAAGTGACTCAAACCCATACTGCCAGGAGCAACGCAACAGGTATGTACAGGACGCCTTAATTCGCTTAAGTTAATCAGATTATACCTTCCTTGAGAGGCGGGGTGAAATGTTTGAGCCCATGGCTGGCTGAAGACAGTCTAGTTGTGGGAGTGGAACTGGCAAGTCCTCCGAGTCTCCGTCTGTTCCAGCAACGAAGTGTAGCAGACAGCTACGTGAGAGCCTGATGTGATCTTAGTGACCAAGTTAAGTCTGCAGTATGTGAGGATTGAATGTAAGACTAACCGGGTGTGGAGTGTTGTAGTAATCATTCAATATTAGGGACTTATTAGGGCGGAAGTTACGAGTGTAGGTGGTAACCACGGAGGTCAAGTGATTATGGGTATTGGGAGTTAATTTAACTAAATAGAGTATGTTAATATGTTATTATTTGTCAGAGTCCATTCTTTGTAATTAAATGAGAAAACCCGACGGCCTTTAAATACCTTCCATATGTCCCCTCATTGTGTTCCTTTACAAACCTAGTGGTACGCCTCAAGGGTCAGGTGTCTGTATAAGTACACGGTGGTAGAAACGGTTGCTGAGGAAAGGTGTTATGTGTTGTGTAATCACTGTGTTCGGAATGAACCGGGGTTCAGCGTCACGACAAAACATGCATGCATACATACATACATACATAGTAGTAGTAGTAGGCAACATTCAGTCTCGGGAGACTATGGAGTTGCGCCCTAGTTGTCAATCCTGGTGCAGCGTCTGGTGTGACTGATGAGGCCAATCCGAGAGTGGCAGTCCATCCCACACCAAGCACAAACGATGTCCGATTCTGGTCTGTCTTCCTGGCTACCGGCTTTCCTTCTCTGTCTCTTTGCCTCCGATTCCTTGGCAAGTGACTCCTCGAACTTGGAGAGACCTCTTTGAACAGACTGCCTCCAGGCTGATCGGTCTGCAGCCAGTGTCTCCCATATAGCAAGATCGACGTCCATGGCTTTCAGGTCCCTCTTGCATGCGTCTTTTTACCGAAGCTGGGGCTTGCCTGTTGGACGCTTTCCCTGCATCAGCTCTCCATACAGGAGATCCTTGGGGATCCTGCCATGGCCCATTCGCACAACGTGCCCGAGCCAGCGCATTCGTCTCTGTTTCAGCATTGTGTACATGCTAGTGATTCTTGCTCTCCTCAAGACGTTGTTGTTTGTCACCTTGTCCTGCCAGGTGATGTCCAAGATGTGTTGAAGGCAGCGCATGTGGTAGGCATTCAGCCGTCTTTCCTGACAGGAGCGGAGTGTCCAAGACTCACTGCCAAAAAGATAAGTGCTCAGGACACAGACTCTGTAAACCTGAATCTTAATATACTCAGTTAGCCTATTGTTAGCCCACACTCTCTTTGTCAGTCTGGACATGGTTGTAGATGCCTTACCGATGCGTTTCTTTAGCTCCGTACCAAGAGAGAGGGAGTCAGAGATTGTGGAGCCCAGGTACACAAAGTCGTGAACGACTTCCAGTTTGGAATCGGAGATGCTGATGTCAGGTGGGGAGTCCACTCCTTGTCCCATGACTTGTGTTTTCTTCAGGCTGATGGTGAGTCCGAAAGCCTGAGAGGCCTCACTGAAGCGGGTCATGAGCCGTTGGAGATCTTCGGCTGAGTGGGCAGTGACCGCTGCGTCGTCGGCAAAAAGGAAGTCGCGCAGACACCTCAGCCGAACCTTTGTCTTAGTACTCAGCCTGGCGAGGTTAAAGAGCTTTCCATCCGACCTGGTCCGGAGGTAAATGCCTTCCGTGACAGATCCAAAGGCATGCCGCAGCATAACTGCGAAGAAAATCCCGAATAAGGTTGTAGCCAGTATGCAGCCCTGCTTTACTCCACTTCGGATGTCAAAGGCGTCTGATGTTAGGCCATCAAAGACCACGGTGCCCCTCTTGTTCTCATAGAAAGATCTGATGATGCTGAGGAGCCTAGTTGGGCATCCGATTTTGGGGAGGATCTTGAACAGGCCATCCCTGCTGACGAAGTCGAAGGCCTTCGTCAGATCTATGAAGGCTACGAAGAGTGGCTGCTTCTGTTCCCTGCATTTCTCCTGCATTTGTCTGAGGGAAAAGACCATGTCGATGGTGGACCTGTCAGCTCTGAATCCGCATTGTGATTCTGGATAGACTCTCTCTGCAAGTACTTGGAGCCTATTCAATGCTACTCGAGCAAACAGCTTTCCGACAATACTGAGGAGGGAGATTCCACGGTAGTTGTTGCAGTCTCCCCTGTCACCTTTATTCTTATACAGCGTGACGATGTTGGCATCCCTCATGTCCTGTGGCACCTCTCCTTCTTCCCAGCACAGGCAGAGAATTTCATGCAGCTCCATGAGCAGGCTACCTCTGCAACACTTCAAGGTCTCAGCAAGAATGGCATCTTTGCCAGGAGCTTTACCAGAAGCAAGGGAGTCTAGGGCATCGCCGAGTTCTTCGAGGGTCGGCTCGCTGTCGAACTCCATTAACACAGGCAGACACTCAATGGCGCTCAGGGCGTCTTCGGTGACCACATTGTCCCTGGCGTATAGCTCAGAGTAGTGCTCGACCCAGCGCTTCACCTGCAGTGTCTGGTCCTGAATCACCTCGCCAGTGGCAGATTTCAGAGGGGCGGTCTTCCTCTGGATTGGGCCGAGGGCCTGCTTGATGCCGTCATACATTCCCCTTACATTGCCTGTGTCCGCTGCAGTTTGTATCTGGGAACAGAGCTTTAGCCAATAGTTGTTGGCACACTGCCTGGCGCTCTGCTGCACTTTGCAGCAGACGGCCCGAAGGATCTGTAAGTTGCGCTGACTTGGGCAGGCTTTGTAGGCTGCCAAGTCGTTTCTCTTCTGCTCGATGACAGGTGTCATCTCTTCCGAGTGAGCCTCGAACCAGTCTGCCGACCTGCTGGTCTTCTTGCCAAAAGTGGAAATGGCAGCGTTGAATACAGCGTCTCTGAAGTGCTCCCATCTTTTACAGGCAGTGACCCCGGCTGGGTCAGGAAGAGCTTCCTCGAGCACGCGTGCAAAATCTTCCACCTTGTCCTGGTTGCGGGTCTTGGTGGTGTCGATGCGAGGTCTGCCCGCCCTTTTCGAGTGATGAATCTTTGGTTGTATCTTGACCCTGCTATATACCAGGGAGTGGTCGGTGTCACAGACAGCACTCTGGTAGCTACGCGTAATCTTGACGCTGGGTAGACTTGCACGCCTGGTAAGAATCAGGTCAAGCTGGTGCCAGTGCTTGGATCTGGGGTGTCTCCAAGATACTCGGTGTTGAGGCTTTGTGCCGAAGAACGTGTTGATGACACAAAGACCATGAAGGCAGCAGAGTTCTAGCAGACGTTGCCCATTCTCATTCATCTTTCCTATGCCAAATTGACCCAGGCAAGTGGGCCAAATGTTGTGCTCGGCACCCACTCTGGCGTTGAAGTCGCCGAGGATGAACAATGGCTCCTTTACAGGGATTCTCGCTATGATTCTGTTGAGGTCATCGTAGAATTTTCCCTTTGTCTCTGCTGGAGAAGTCAGGGTTGGTGCATATTCACTACTTACATTGACTGGTCCTGTTTGGGAGTGTAGTTGCAGAGACAGAATTCGTTCGGTTTCCCCCATCGGTGGCATAATGTGCCCCAACAGTGCATTCCTGACAGCAAATCCCACACCATGTTCTCTGGTCTCATCAGGTGGTTTTCCTTGCCAGAAGAAAGAGAAGGTCCTCTCTCTCACAGATCCTGATCCAGGGAGCCTGGTCTCGTGGAGAGAAACAATATCCATCAGCAGTTTGATCAGCTTCCTATCGATGATTGCTGTTTTTCGGGCGTCATTGATTTCTTGCAGGTCGCTAGAGAAACCTGGTGTCAGTGTCCTGATGTTCCATGTGCCCAGCTTTAGGGCAGTTGATATTTTCTTCTTTGGTTTGGTATTGCTTGGTGCCAAGTTGTCGGGCCGCTTGT